AAATTTTATATAAAAGAGAGCTATAAAAATAATAATAATAATAATAAAAACAATTTTGTCTTCTTTTAATTGTATTAAATTTTTTTTTTTATCAGTGCAATTTATATAAAAATGAAGCTTTAATATTTGGTTTTTTTTATAATTTATGCGAATGACATACTAAATAAAATCTTGTGTTTAATTTTTCAATATTTTTACTAATTTCTGTTGCTTTATTCATACATGATCGATAATTAACCATCTTTCTGTAACTTTTTCCATTTTTTTTCCAGCGATTGGATCTCTTATTCTCACTTTGACTTCTAATTTTCCTCCAGCTGGCCTTCTTCCATTCATTAAATCAAATGCTTCATGAATTTTAATATCCTTTCCTAATGGCATTAATTTAACAACCACCGTACCTAAAGATGAATCTCTATGAAAAAACCCCCCTTTGGACCAGACTTCCATTTTAATACCATGCCTTTTAAAAACTCTTTGACAAGCAGAGGCTTCCCTATTGATTGGAAATGTTAATCTAGTATTATAAACTGGATTGTTAGTATTTTTAACAGTTGATGTTCTCCCACTTGGAGGACTGGAATTTGGGTACGGAAATTCGTAAGTCACATAGGTGTCGACATCATTAGGATTTGAAACTTTGTAATTAATTCCTTGCATAATTGTTAATTCTAATTCATTGTCATTTAGATCTGTATTACTCTGAACAGCAGAAAATGTTTTATTTTCATAATGATATTTAGGAACAGCATTGTTCCTAGAATGACAAACTTTTATAAAGTTTAAATCCTTTTTAAATTGTAAGGCATATTGTTCAAAGTGATTAGCACTTGCAATATCTCCATTCATTTTAAAATGATTTCTCGTGTTCATACACATTTTAATTTGATCCATTAATTCTTTTTCTAGGTTAGTGTAAATTTCAGAATTATCAGTGTCAGAAATTTCAGCTTTTTCTATTTCTTTCGATGTGTCCTCCGTTTCTTGTTTGTCTTTTAATGAAACTGGAAGAGTTGTTAAATCAACAGGAAAACCACTTTCTGAAGCTTGAATCAACCTTTCAAAGCCTTTGCAAATTTTTAAATATTCCTTTGCTTTAGCTATATCACCTTCTTTTTTTGCAGCCAAAGCAGCATCTCTATATTCTTTGTGTCTGGCCTTTAAAATAATTGTTTGTTTTTCAGATTTCGTTGGTTTGGGTTCAGTAATTCCAGGAGCTTCATCATCATTTGGAGAAGATACATTATCAATTGTAGGAAGTGAATTAGCTTCTTCAGTAGGCTCATTAATAAAAGAATTAGATCTAGAAGGCAAGGGACTTGGAGGTTCAGATTTTACAGGAACCAAAGGAGGAAATCCAGGAGGGCTTGGTAACTCATCTAATGGAACAGGTTTATTAGCACTTTGCAACTTAATAGCATCTGTGTACTGTTTGATAATCCTTTTATATCTTCTAGCCTTACTAGAATTTCCATCTTCTTCTGCAGTTTTTAAGACAGATTTATAAACTTCTAACCTTGATTTCAGCTCCTCTAAAATATCTTTTTCCTCTGCTTCATCTGCATTTTTGTCATTAATCAAAATAGATACTTGATCTTGGGCAACATTACTTGCATCAGCATCAATACCAGATGATTCATAATTTTCTATGTTTACTTCTTCTGGTGCAAAAGGATTATCTGACAGCTCTCTCATCGGACTGGGACTAGGATCTCTACTGTGCGACGTTGACTTTCGAGGAAGTGACGGTGATACATCAGGAGTGAGAAACTGTCCAGAATCTGGAAGTTCTAGAGTATTTTTGACAAGTGGTTCAAACCCTGGGGGATTGGGAAGTTCATCCAACGGAACTGGTCTGCCATTTTTACATAGTTTTATGGCATCATTATACTGTTTAACAATTCTTTTATAACGACGCGCTTTACTCGCATTTCCTTCAGCTTCAGCAGCCTTAAGAACACTTAAATATTTATCTAAGCGTGCATTTAACTCGTCTAACATTGTTTCAGATGTTTCCACTTAAACTTACTCTACCTCCGATTTGCTTTAAAAAATCCGTATAATGATAAGCATGTCAATAAATATTTAAAATTTTTGAATATAATTTGAAGTCAAATTCAATAATTCTTAATACAACGATAAAATTTTTATTCTTTTATAAATTAATAATATTAAAATAAATTAAAACAAAGTGCGTAACAAGACCAAAATACATTTTGCTCTTGTTCATTTAATTCTTGTTTCCGTTTTATTTTGCTGCCAAGGGAAGAAAGTAAAACAGTAGCGGTTTATCTTGTTATGTTAATTATGAGTAGTAGTTAGTTCACCAGTTACAGATATGAATTTTAAAAAATTCATGAACTTTATATGGAGATGCAGTTCATTATGTTCCGAGCAAAATTTTTGAAATAGCCTTAAATAGTAAAGTAATGATAAAAATTCAAAATGAATTTTGTGTCTTTTAAAATTTTTTATGAGTTTTTTATAATATCGATGTTTTTACACATATTGAATTTTAAAATCTACAGTTTTGCAAGTTTTACAAACAGTTCAGACGAAATTAAAAGTATTTTTGACAGTAATTATTCAAACGAAAAAAATAATTCTTCTAATGGTAAATAAATCTTTCCTTAAAATAAATTGTGAAATGAGCATAAAAAGTTTCCATTAGGTGTTTGTATTAAGCATTAATTATGTATTATTATAATTTTCAGATGACATTAAAAAAGAAAACTTTTTTGAAGGTGGTTTAATTAAGGAAAATAACGTAAAAAAACATTCTGCATTTATGGAATATTTAAAGTATGATCAAAAAGATGGACATGCTTTACCTGAACTTAAAAGTATACCTTTAAAAAGTGAAAATTATAAATCGGATGTTAAACCTAAATTACATAAATATGTAGATAACTTTGCAGAGCAACTTACAATTTCAAAAAAACTTAATGATTCCGGTAGCAACCTATTTCTTGGAGTTCCAGAAGTTTTTCATACAAATGGCACTTCCTCGATTAAACCTCGAAAGGGTGTGGATTTTAATCAAGCAGTAAGTCTCAATGAAATAACTAGTGATATTGCTGATTATAATTTTTTTTCATCAAATAGTTCAAACATTTATATTACTGAAAAAAATTGTAGTGTCTTATCAAATTATCAAAATACAACATGTTATTGTTGTAAGAGTGCTGAAACTTTTTCAAGTTTTCAAAAGTTTTTGCTCAATTGTAAACTGTGTAACATAACTAATGAAAATTTAAATAATTCTGATTGTCTCAATACATATTGTAAAAATATTAATGGATCAAAAAAAACTAAGGTTTATGAAGATAAACCGAAAATTTTAAAACTTAACACAAACAAAACTGTAACAGAACAAGAAATAAACAAAACTAAAATATTTGAAAGTAATCATTTAAAAGAAATTAATACAACCAAGGTTTCTGAAAATTTGAACAAGAGTTTAATATTTAAACCTGATATTACAAAAGTTCCTCATGATAATGATATTATTAATGGCCTGGTAAGCAATTCTAAAAAAGAAATTCTTTTACCCATTGCTGCTTCAATATTATTGTTACCATTAATAGGTATTCTTTTATTTTTTCTATGGAGAAAAACTAAAGAATATTGGGATAAAAGATATTATAAAAGAATGGATTTTTTAATCGACGGAATGTACAATGATTGATTAACCGATAATAATTTTTTAAAATTGTATTAAATGTTAAAATTAATTTTTTTTAGCTTTACATTTTGAATTTCTACATTTTTAACATCATAAAAATAAAGTACAGAGTTTATATTTAAAATTAAAATTTTTATTTCTTAAAATTGTAATGAAAAAAATATTTTTACTGCTAATTTCTAAATAAAATTGAATTTTAATAAAGTATTCATTTAGAAAAAGAAAAAAACTAGGTCATGCTCACAGGCAGCAAACATAATACTTTTGTTTTTTTGTATTAATAACATGTTTTTAAGATTTTATGTCATGTAATTTTTATGTTTCAAATTGTTACACAAAAAATTAATTTTTTAAAAATACTTTGTTTTTAAAAAATTATTTTTTTTGTTTATCCAGTTAATTTTTTTAAAAAAAAAAAAAACTTCATAAAAAAATTGCTTTAATCTTAGGTTTGAATGGATATTTTAATTTGTTAATTGATGTATTTTTATAAAATTAAATTTTAGGTTGTACTCCATTACATTGTTAATACCATCTGTTTATTTTTATGAAAAAAAATTAATTTTATTTAAATTTTTAAAGAAAAAAAAAAAAAAAAATTTGTTAAAATTGTTTATAATAAAAATAGTGTCTTCCTTAAATTGCTCAATGTACAATCAAAAGTTACTGGATAAAATTGAATTTAATTAAATAATTTTTAACTAATTATTAATGAATAAGTAAATTTTTAAGTGTAATAATTTTTTTTTGCAATCAATTTTTTTGAAAAAAAAATGAAATTTTATTGTAATTATTTTAAATCTTTTATCGGATGTTCTAGTAAAAATATTTAAAAAATTTAATACTCTTGCCTTACTTCCTATTGTTTTTAATTGAGTCACAAATGCATAATTTTTTATACATTTTTCTTTTTAATTAAAAACACACATTATATATATTTTTGGGATGTCTATTTTTAGGTTAAGCAAAAGAATTATATTTTTTTAAATATTTGTAATAAATAAAATAAATATATTAAATTTTTTAAAATCATTTTTACAATTATTTATTAATTTACTTTTAAATATTTTATCTTGTACACAAGTGCAATTTTAAAAAATTTTTATGAATTCAGGTTTTTTTTAAGTTGTAAATTAAATTACATGTGAAACTTAAAATTAATGTTAAGATTATTAAATTTGACAACAATATGATTGTATACTACTACATAAAAAGTGTAACCCATTTAATCGAATAAAATTGAAACAAATTGTAGCTTAATAAAAAAATTTTATTTATAAGTTGCACCTTTTTTTAAATCTTGAAAAAGGTTTATTTTCAAACTCAAAAGTTTTTTAAGTTCAACGGAAAAATGTAAAAAAAATACACATGACAATTAATTGCATTTAAAATAAGAAAAAAAGGGTATTTATTCTTTTACGCAGTTTATATTTAATTTTTAAACAATATTTATCACAAATTTAAAAGTAAGATAAAATTTTCTAAAACTTGTCGATAAGCAAAAATATTTCGTTTTAACCTTTGATTTCAAGTTTTAGTAAATTGAAAATTATTATTATTTTTTAAATCAAACCTTTCCGCCACGTTCGCGTGCACTTGAATTGCAGCAAACGTATTTTTGCTAAATTTAAGGTTAAAAACACTAAGTATTGTATTGTTAGATTTTATATCTTGTTTTTTTGTTAAAAGTAAAATCAAAGTAATATAATAGAAATAATAAAAATTTAAAAAAAATAAAGACAACAATATAAAATGTCAGACGTAGATGATTTTATGTGTGAAGAGGAAGAAGATTACGGTTTGGTAAATATATATATAAATAAATTAAAATTCATTTAAAATAAAACTTATTATAAAGTTATTATAAATAAATTTAAAAACCGACAAATTTTTTGCATATAATTCACTATAATTAGAGTACATCATTATTAGATGTTGCTTTGAGGAAATAGAAAAGCATATTTTTATAATATTATTTTATTATTTTATTATCTACTAAACTTGAAATGTTCTTGTCAAGCAGTATTCAAAAACCATTTCCAAAACGAATAATTCGCGCCAGTAGTAATTTCTTCAGGACTCAGACGAATTACTATTAAAATTCCTTACATTCATTATAAGTCTAATGAAATTTTTTTAAATTATTTTAATCTTATTATTTTAATCACTATTGACTACAAAAACTATCAAAAATGGGTTTTGTGATGAACCAACGATACTATCACACTTAACTTTATTGTTAATTTATTGCTATAAAAATTTTAACTATCAATCTACAACTGTAGTTTTAACAATAAAACAGTACAAATGTGCTACCCATTAGCTTAAAATACTTTTAAAATAATAATGATAATTAAAAATTGAATATTTTATGAAATTGTTTTAGCTCCATATATAATTATTTCATATTATTATATTATATATCATATTATTTATATATTAAATCATTTTTATTTTAATAAAATCTTACTTATAAAAAGGCAATAACTAATAAATTTTGATAACCATGAAAATAAAATGTACAATAAGCATTTTAAAAAAAAAACCTATGAATTTTTCAAAGTCAAAAATAAATAATTTCAGATATCATTTATAATTATTAATCGTAACAATGTTATGTAATATTTACAGTAGTTTTGATGGTCTTCTTTTTTATTTAATTTTTTATATTACACAGACAATATACTTTTATCATTTAGGAATATTCAGAGGACAGTAATTCAGAACCGGATGTTGATTTAGAAAATCAGTATTATAATTCAAAAGCTTTGAAAGAAGATGATCCGAAAGCTGCATTATCTTCTTTTCAAAAAGTTTTAGATTTAGAAGGTGGCGATAAAGGAGAATGGGGATTTAAGGCTCTTAAGCAAATGATTAAAATTAATTTTAAATTGGTAACAATTATTTTACTATATTAAATTTTAAATCTTAAAAATCATATCAGAAATTAAACCATTTTTAACACATATTTAAATATGTATAAGTACATTATTCTTATGCATTAAATTATTAATTAAAAAATCATTATTATTTTAAATTATTAGGGTAATTTTGATCAGATGATGTTTCGCTATGAACAATTGCTTACATATATTAAAAGTGCAGTTACAAGAAATCATAGTGAAAAATCAATCAATTCAATTTTAGATTATATTTCTACATCAAAAAATGTAAGTTTATTTTATTTTATTTTTTTTTAAAATATATCAAAATTTTTACATTAATATTTAAAGTTTTTTTCTTTTATTTTATTTTAATTACATTCATTTAGTTTTGATTGTTGTATTATATTTGAAAAACGTAAATTTTTTTTAGATGGAATTACTACAAAACTTTTATGAAACTACTTTGGATGCTCTCAAAGATGCCAAAAATGACAGATTATGGTTTAAAACAAATACAAAGTTAGGAAAGCTTTATTTTGATAGATCAGATTTTCAAAGGCTTGCTAAAATTTTAAAACAACTTCATCAGTCTTGCCAGGTAAGAATTAACGATAATTCAATCGAAATAACTTATTTTATTATGTAGTTCATCTTTTTAATCAATTTCGATAAAAATTAAATTTGATGATTTAATTTTTTATAATATTTTTTATTTATTTAATACATGCTATAAATTCTACATTATTTTTTATAAATCTATTTTTTATATTGATGAAAAATGTTTTCGAATACAAAAATAACGTTTAAATATCCAAATGTTGCTATTCGAGAGAATGAAATTTTTTATTGTTAAAATAACTTTTTTTTTTTTTTTTTTTAGACTGATGATGGAGAAGATGACCTCAAAAAAGGTACTCAGCTATTAGAAATTTATGCTCTTGAAATTCAAATGTACACAGCGCAAAAAAATAACAAAAAACTTAAAACATTATATGAACAGTCATTACATATTAAAGCTGCTATACCTCATCCTCTTATCATGGGCGTTATTAGAGAATGTGGTGGCAAAATGCACTTAAGGGAAGGAGAATTTGAAAAAGCTCACACTGATTTTTTTGAAGCATTTAAAAACTATGATGAATCCGGGAGTCCAAGAAGGACTACTTGCCTCAAATATCTTGTATTGGCTAATATGTAAGTTTTTAAGTATTCGATTTGTTATTAATTTTAGACAATTTGAAAAAAAAACCTTTTTTTATAGATTACAAATTCTAAAAAATTTTTTAATAATTTTTAGGTTAATTAAATCAGGAATTAATCCATTTGATTCTCAAGAAGCGAAACCATATAAAAATGATCCTGAAATATTGGCCATGACCAATTTGGTTTCGGCATATCAAAATAATGATATTAATGAATTTGAAACGATATTAAAACAGAATAGGCAAAATATTATGGATGATCCATTTATTCGAGAGCATATAGAAGACTTACTTAGAAACATTAGAACACAAGTTTTAATTAAATTGATAAAACCCTACACGAGAATTCACATACCTTTTATATCCAAAGAATTAAATATCGATGCAGCAGAGGTTGAAAGTTTACTCGTATCCTGCATACTAGATAGGTAATGGATATCAATATTTAAATATTATTTCATTCATGTAGTTGTATGCATGTCATTTAATAATTTTTTTGTTAAATTTCAGTACAATTCAAGGAAGAATCGATCAAGTAAATCAAGTTTTAACTTTAGATAAAGAATCCCGGTGTGCTGCTCGATATAACGCATTGGATAAATGGACTAATCAATTATGCACACTTCACTTAGCCATAGTCAATAAAATGTATTAATCTCGAATTGTAGTAGTGTACTTTAAAACAAAGAATCCGTTTTTATTATTATTATTATTATTATTCATTTTCTATTTTCGCATAAAAGAAATATTATGCGTGTTAAAATCACTGTAGTTGTTTGGAAAAGTCCATTTTTAAAAATTCCTACTCGAATTTATAATTAATTAATTTTTTATGATTTTGTTTTTATGAAGTTTCAAATAGTTTTTATTTTTATTTTATTTATAAAAATGAATTATAATATTTAACATATGTTTATCAAAATTTTTTAATAATGAAGAAAAACTTTTTTTTTTTTTTTTTTTTAACCGTGCTAAAAGAATTTTCTATTAATCTTTCAATTAAAAATGCGAAAATGATATTTTAAGTAAAAATTACATATAAAAAAAAATTTTAATAACATATATTATTTATTTATTTACTTTTTTCAAAAGACAATCCAAAAATAATAAAACATTTTGAATTAAATAACATTTATAATTTTTTATTTAAAAATAAGGGAAAACATGCCATAGAGTGTACTATTTTTTTTTTTTTTTAAATACGTTACAAATATAAAATAATTTATTTTTTAATATTAATTTTCAAAGTAAAATTTAAATAACATCAATAATTAATAATTTCATGCATTTTCAACAAGTATATAAAATTTAAAGTTTAAAAATAATTTTTTTTTTTTTTTTTTATGTCGTAAACAAAATAAATAATAAAATTTAAAATGGACTTTATATTAAAAATTTAGATTTAAATAATAATATATATATTAGTAATAAAAATACGGTAAATAACAAAGGTATTTCAGGTACGTATGATAACTCAATTCGGTAAAATATTTTAAGTATACGTAAAAATAAATTTAAATAATATTAAAAAAAATATTATTTACGTTTTTCATAAAAAATATAAATATTTTTAAAAATTATTATTATTTTTAATTATTATTATTATTATTATTATTATTATTATAAAAAAAAAACAATATAAATAATATTTTAAAAAACAAAATATAAGGAAATGTTGTCAGTGAAAATATTTACGTTATGTATCTTATACGTATTTTTTTTAAATGATGTTTAAAATATTTAAAGAAGAATTTTAAAAAGTTGTAAACTTTGCAAAAAAATTTTGTTCGATAAAATTGGATTAAATTTATTTTTTTTAGATAAGATTAAAGTTGTGATGATGCATCGTAATCAGGAATGTTATTAAGCTCATTTGATTTGTTCCAATAAAAATAAGGTGGACCATCACTAAAACAGTATTTCATTTCTAAAGGTTCATCCTTTTCAACGTAGTACATAAGGTAAAAGTTGCACATTTCATCTTTGTTTGTTGCTCTGAAAATTAAATGTTGAAAAAAAAAAAATTATATCATCATGATGTATTTGAAATATCTTGTGTATGAATGTAACAAGTATGGCTTTAATTCATTAACATGCTCTATATTGACTGGCATGAAAAAAAAAAAGGTTTACCCTGTATAAACATATCTGTCTTTTTTGGTTTTCATTGTACATCTAGCTGCGATAATATCTCCTTCTTTAATTGGATTTTTATTTACGACTGGATAAAACATTTGAGGAGTTTGAGGATTCTTTTTACCCAATAGTGACCAGGTATCTTTGCCATTTTCATCTGCTACTACTTTGTATCCAGAGACCATCAGACCTATTCAATTCGAAATTAAATTTATTATGACAAGTCTAAACAAGTTACACAAATAATGCAGAATTTAACTTTGACTTTTTGTAATAAATTGTGAAAAAGATAAAATTTTGTGGTTTTAAAAATATCTTACCTAAACTGTGAGTGTGAGTTCTGAAAGCGAAAGGATGAATTACTTTTTTTTCTTTTATAGAGCAAAATGTTTCCATGTGTTCTGTTTTTTTTCCAGGAGGAATCAAACCTCTTGTTCCAAGTAATAAAACACCTGCTAATTTATCTAATGGTCTTTCAGTATATTCCAGGAAGACACCAGAGTCATCTGTTTTTCCATCTGTTAATTTTACAAAGTAAAATTTTAAAGGCTTAAACATAATGATAAATTATTCGTAAGTTATGACCACAGTATTAACACATAAACATTCACCTTTAAATTCTTCAATATGGGCATAGTGAACTTGTAAGACCAAGTATTTTATTGGGGAATCTTTACCGACTTTGAACCCCACTCCTTCTGGAAGTTCTAATTTTGGAGCATCTCTAGCCCAAGCATATATCACTTGTAAGCCATCGAGACATGGACTAGCAGTGTCTACACCTGAATTTTTATTTATCATTTCACCACAATTCCTAAAATATTATTAAATTAAATTATTAATAAGCTTAAATCTGAATAGTAGAACATTGTATTTAAATTTAATTTATTGATAAAATAAATTAATAATATTCTAAATAATATCATTGAAAATTTTACCATAAAGCCTTATTGCTTCCTGGAGTTTTGCAACCATACAATAACATATGATGTGCAGTTTCCATTGTAGAATTTGGTTCAAATCCTGTGATGAAATAACTTTTTTCTGTATTAATTTTAACAGGAGTACATAAGTAGAGCTCAGGCTAAAAATAATCAAAACTTCCATGATAATATAAAGTAAGATTTTATAATTAAAACATGTAAAGTGAAATACTAGAATTAGGACAAAATAAAGGTAAGTAAAATTTAATATGAAAATATTTATAGGAAAAAGTCAATTTTATATTTAAAAAAAAAATATTTTTTTTTTAAATTTCATTATTATTAACTTTATTGGCTCAAAATAACATAAATGAAAAAATAATTTTTTAGCATAATAGAGCGTAAAAATAGGTCTTAAATGAATTTGACTTATTATTTATAACGGAAAATAGTCTTGTGACGTCACAAAACTGACGTTTGAACCGATCAATAATTTCAACAAGTTTCAGGCTTCATTCATAAAAAATAATAAATTTTAAATTGAACTTGTAGATTTTAATAACGACTATTTGATAATTTTTGTTGTGGACTACAGTAATAAGGTAATCTTCAGGTAAAATTTAACAATTTTATAAAATTTTGACTTTATTGTTTATTCCACACTTACATACAGCATATTGTATGGAACATGTAATCCGGTATAAAAATTTAACAATACGTTTAATAAATTTTTTAACTTACAAAATTAGGCCGCACATTTGGCATCAAAAGAGAAAATTTTCCTATTTTATAACTTGCACAAAAATGCAAACAAAATAACACCACAGCACATTTGTACAACATTTTGAATGGAAATTAGTAGTAAATTTCAGTTGTATAGATTTACCCCTAATGATTTCCCCTCTCAGGTTAGAGGTCTCTAGTTCGAATGCGTATTGAATCTTTTTATTAGTTTCAGATTTTGAAAAAATAAAAAAAAAAAAATTTCTTTTATTTGATTATTATTACTAATTTCAAACTTATTTAATCACTGTTAAAATAATTTTTGTTAACTATTTAAATATTATTGGCATTATTAACTATTTAACATTCACTTTATTTTTGGTCAATAATTAATGAAAAATTACTTAAACACTAAATATTTGTAAGGTTTTTTTTCTTTTTTTTAATGTGGAATCAAGAAAAATGATAGTTTTATTTTAATGCCATAACCATTGTATTTATATGGCTTATACCTTTTCTCATGAAGGTCAACAACTTACAATATATGTTTTTTTACAATTATTTTTAGGAATACAACAGTTATCTTTTGTATTTAGTAATTCATGCATTTAGTATATTATAAAAAAGTTTGTATGTAAAAAATTGTTTGTTAATTGTTATGTTTTTGTCAAGTTTGTAAATTGTTTTAGATTCTACATAATGGCCATATTAGATACAACATAGTAGTTAACCACAAGCTCACATCACGCGTTGGCTACTAAATTGAAACTTGATTATAGCTTTTCAAAGTGAACGTTATGCTGCGTTGTTTGGAGGAGGAAATAGAGATATATAAAATATTTAAAAAATCGACATAATAATTTTAATTTATTTTAAAATATTCTTCAAATGTTCGAAATTGATGTCGAGCAAAAAAAGGTTTCATATAATCATTATAATAATGTAAGTTGACGTTTGAAAATAATTCACGTGAAAATAATTTTAAAGTTTCGCGGTATTTCGTAGAAATAGAAAATGAGACGTAGTTTTTGATTTTTGAATTTAACTGTTTCAACGTTTTTTTTTCAAATTGTCGACTTTTTTTTTTTTTGGGTGCAGAATGTGAATTTTTGAGCGTTATTAAAATTTTATAATTAATTATTTCAAAAAGAAGTTAATTTTGTCATCAGTAAGTTATAAAAGCATATAATTAATGTAAAAGGTTTTTAAGTTTTATAACATTTTTGAGAAATGATTTGACCTTGATTTGAAATCGAAAAGTAAGTGAAGCTTTTTTTCTAGGACGTTATTTCGTTTGAAAGACATCTTTAAAAAATTTGCATTATAATTTATGCTACGATTAATATTCTTGCTCGTTGTGAAAAATCACTACTAAAATTTTCATCGAAATTTTACGGGAAAGAAATATATAAAGCATTTGTAATATAAAAACTTTTGCACTATTTTTTTCGTTTGAAGATAATATTATGTCCAACCGTCAATCGTATTAATGGCTTTTTTTTTTTTTGGCAACAATCAATCATTTTTTATTATATTTTGTTCTTTGAATAAAATTACGATAAAAAACAAAATGATTTTGTTTATTAAGTAATGTTAATTAATTAAATTTTTTAATGTTTTGTTAAATGAAAATTAACGAAAGCAGAAAGTATTAAAATGTCAAAAAAATTTACGGGAAATAATTAGAGAAGGCTCAATTTGCCAACATTAATTTATAATAAAATATGCCTTCTACATTTTTTTTGAATTTGTTTACCTGTTGTTGATTTTTGTATATTTATTATATATGTATATATACATTTTATTTTTAATTTTTATAAAGTTTTTTTTCGGAATGAGAATATTTGGATTTTTTATCAAAACATATAAACTTAATAAATACATTTTACTTTATTAGCAGATGAAGTGCAGAAGGGTAATTGAAAATTTTCAAGGTAGGTAATTTAAGTAAACTAAATAATTTTTTTCTTTTTTTTTAGGTTTAACGTTAATTTTTCCCTTTGATAAATTTTATTTTTTATTTAATATTTTAGATAATATTTTACACGACTGATGTCATTAGATGAAGATACTTTTGAAAATGATAAAATACAAAAAATTTCGGATAAATTTTATTACAAAAATGATACTGAACCTTCATTTCAAAGATTCAAATTATCATTTCCTCAAAATAAATACTTAACTAAATCTGTAAGTTTAAAATGTAAATAATTTAAAAAAAAAAAAAAAAAATATTATTTATTATTTATTAGTATTGATTTGAAAAAATGTTTTTAAATCTAAGGGTGTCCCATCTGAAATTATTAGTTGGAGAAGAGCCATTTTGAATGATATACCTGCAATAGAATTTTTAAAAAGCGATACTGGAGACATTGCCAATGCTTTATACCGTCAAAGAAATATCAATAAACTAATGTAAGTGGTGAACTAGTTTAAAAAATTTTTTTTAAAATTTAAACTTATTTAAATAAAAATTTTATCATCATTTTCTATTTAGAGAAAATAGTTTTTATCCTATAGTTCAATGCGATCCTAATGGTCAATTGATATCATTTACTGTTTGTGATACTTTTCCTAATATACCATCAGTACCTTCTTTTTTTTGGACGGATTGGTTACATTCAACTTATAGGTAAATTTATTTTTTATTTAATTACATAAATAAGTTTAATTTGAATTCTCAATTTCTGTTAATTTTTTTTTTTTTTTTTTGTAGGATGGTTGGAGCAAATCCCAGAAACACATTTTTTATTCATTACATGCTATGGCTGTCAAATCATTCTGAAAACTTTTTATATGTTCTTTTGACAACGATATTTAAAGAATTTTTATTCTTAGAGCATGTTTTTATTGTAAAACCCCCGAACGTAGAATTTCGTTAGTAGTTTTTTCATCATCTATTATTGTTTATTTAGTTAAAATTTAACTTTCAAATACAAATCTCTGAAATATATATATATATATAATTAACTTGAAGAAATGACTTTTAATTTATATTTTCAGCGGATCTGTACAATGGATATTTTATTCCAGTGTTACCATTTGGTTTAGAAAAAGTTGATTACAATTCTGTTCAAACACTTTTTGTGTGCCTTAGAACTAGTCTATTACGTTCTCTACCAATTCGAATTGCTTTGTGAGTACGTGAATAATTCAAAAATCAATTTTGGATTTTCTATTAAAAAATTATTATTACTCTTTGTTTAAATTATTATTAACAAAAAGTTAAAAAAAATTAATTAATTTTTAAAATTACTTCAATTACATTAGCTTAATATCGTTTATTATTTTAGCAAAGAAGAATTTAATACTATTTCTTTATTTCTTCAACACGACATTAACATATTACATACTAAAAGTAAATCTTTGATGAATTTCGAATTTATCTTCGGGAAAGAAAAGAAAATTTTAATTTGTGAAGTACGATATGCGTTTTACCCCCTTTTATTCGGTTTTAATCAAACTATTTAATTCATTTTTTTAAATAAAAAAAAAAATAATAATAATAATTTTTAGTCTGAAGGCAAAATTGTGGGTGTTATGGTTTTAAATCTGGAAGTAAATTTAGATTTTTTCAATGAATATTTTGAATTGGCACCGTATAGAGGTTTAAGAAA